AGTTATAACTTAACTTAGACGTTAGTAGTTTTGTGGATAGCAAAATGAATACAGGATAGAAACATGTGCTTCTTTAATAGATAAAAATATGCAAAAACTAATTTATTGTTCAAGTATTACGATAAATAGAAAGAGTTGTTCTGTCATCTCTCATGTTAGATTAAAATTGCTAAGATTGAAAGCTTCAAATTGCTAAATCGAGTGACTTGGCTATTGTATCTATAGAAAGAGAGAATTTTATTAGAAATATTGATTTCTAAAGCTTGGTTAACGATTTTGTAAAAAAGAAAGGAAGAAAACTTACGTTTTAGCTAATATTTTTTCTGATAATTTAGTTTTTTTGTTTATTTTAGATATATGACGATGGTACTTATTATAAATAATAATTTATGAACTGAAGTTTTTGGTTTTATTCGCTTATGGCAACCGCCAACGTTATCATGGCTTTGTACATCATCCACTAGTTTAAGGAATCCATCAAGTTTATCGGTTCCATCTTTTCTGGAAATATCGGTCCCATCTTTTCTGGAGAACAAATATTTCTTTATCATCTTAACCAATCAATAAATCAGTACTCCACATGAACCAACATAAGTATTTTCTTGTACACAATCTTGTATTAGTCTAAAACTCACACAATCTTCCGGAGAATCATATTAAACCACAAACCTTCTTATGCTAGAGCCGCAGCTCTGATACCACGTTTGTAAGGATTCAACACTGAAATTCTAGGTTACTTCTTCTCAAATATGCATTATCACTTGATCAATTATGTTGTGTGTCAGAGATGAACACTAGATCAATTAGAATTACAAGATTCTTCACTAGACACAGCTCTTTGTTTTTCTGAATGATATGAGCCAATAACAACACTTCAACCCAGCTTTCTTTTTAACTGAATATTGACTAAAAACAAGCAGCCTCACATTAGATTTTAGAAAGAAGTATCTTTAAGTGTAATTTCCTGGTTCGTTATTTACAATATTTTGAAAACCGGATCGAATACCGACTCGGCATTGTCATTAGATGGCTGGTTGGACAGGTTGAATCGGCCAAACCATATTTTTGAATATTTTTATTTTTAATTATATATATTAGAATTAAAAAATAATTCATATATATATTTTTTTAAAAGGATAAAATATTCTTAAATTTTATTTTTCTAATATCATTTTATCTGTTAAAAAAAAAATTATAATAAATAATATATTAGGTCACTTAAAATTATAATAATAAAAGATTAAATATGATTTATCATATAGTAATTATCATAAAAACACGTACGTCACAAAAATTAATCTATTATATATATAAAACATATATTTTTTTATTTAAAATATAAAATGAAAATAAATTTAAAAGTAAATAAACAGTGAATATAAATTACAGTTTAAATTTTGGAATTAAAACTCAAAATTTTGACTTCGATTTTGTGAACTGGGTTTTAGTATGGATCTGGATCATCAGATTTTATCAATTTAATTAAAATTTGAGGTTTGAGTCAACTCAAATTCGGCTAAGTAAACGATTTTTAGTTTGACCGATCTGGTTTTCAAAATGCTGGTTATTTGTAAGGG